TTATGATAGTTTTTCACAATTACAACTGCTGCAGTATCCATGTGATCAAAATTCAGACACTTGGCCACTGACTTGTACTTATGACGGCACCAGCGTCCCAGGGGATCATGTGATCCCCCTTTACAACCTTCTGACAAGTAACGTCAGTGGGAAAGACAGATTCTCTTAAGAACTGTGTTACTAACTTAAACTGCAGCGATTCGCTTAACAACTATGGCAAGAAAAGTCGTAAAGCGGGGCAAAATTCACTTAATAAATGTCTTGCTTAGCAAACAGAAATTTGGAGCTCAATTGTGGTCATACATCAAGGACCGCCTGTCGGAGCTTTCTCACCTGTCGTCCATAGAGTCTTCTCTCCTGTAAGGTGAATTTCTAATAGTGATCTCCATGCGGTGATCTCTTAACTCTCCCTCTTCAAGGGAATCCCGTTTTGAATCGCGGTCATCAGACTAGGGTGGGTTAGGAAGAAAATATTTATTTTGGCTTTTGGGAAAGTGCCCTCATCAACTTAAACAGAGAGAGTGAAAAGGGCTGAGAATTATCACATGCACGACATGCACATTTTTTTTCAAAAGACCCGAACCCCAATATTAAGATAATCTTTATTGTCATTTTTTTTTACCGTGGGCAGAACGACACATATCAAAAATGAAATTTAGTTGCCCGCTCTCAAAGTGAAACACATACATGACACACACCTAACCATACTATATACAATGTATGTATAGACCCATACCCCTACATATACATAACAAATAAATATTAAATACTGTCCATCTTGAATATATAATGGAAGGAGGAAGCTTGAGAATTCACAAGGTTAATGCTGTATGGAATGAAACTGTGGCTGAATCTGGATGTTCTGCTACGGATACCACGAAGCCTCCTTCCAGAAGGTAACCAGGAAAACAGGTCGTGGAGAGAAATATTATCAAAAATAATTGCTATGCCAATCTCAGAAAGGATTATTTTTTTTAAAAAAAATCTTCCCGATACAAAATCCTAAACCCACATTTTTGAGGCGCTTGATATCTGCTTTTTCTTCCTGCTCCTTCCGGCGTTTCTTCTCTTGAAGAATTTCATCTAACGTTTTCACCTTCCACGATTCCTTTTCATCACCCATTTGTGTTACAAAAGGCACTAGGAGAGAACACAACCGCACAGTGAATGGCACTACACCCACAGCAAGGGAAGTGTTTCCTTGGCCTCCAGAAAATCCGAAATCTAAAAGTAAGCCACAATTTATCAGCTCCTTTCTTCTGGGCAATGCATCTATGGATGCCTTCAGGCCGGTCCATTGACCAACGGAGGGGGAATTTCAATCCATTTTTGAACGACAAGAAATTTCTCCTGAAAGTTATTTGGGGCTGTGCTTTTATTTATATATTAGATTCGTTTATATATTAAATGTGCAGGTAATTCCCAACTTACAACCTTTTGTTTAGAGATCTTCTGAAGTCACAGTGACGCTGAAAAAAGTGACTTACGACCTTTTTTCACACTTATGACCGTTGTAGCATCCCCATGGCTAAGTGATCAGAGTCAATGGGGAAGTCAGATTCACTTGACCACCCTGTGACTAACTTAACTGCAGTGGTTCACTTAACAACTGTGCCAAGAATGGTCATAAAAAGGGCCAATTAACAACTGTCTCGCTTAGTAACAGGAAATGGAGGCTCCATTGGGGTCGTCAGTTGAGGACTCCCTGTATCTCACAAACTGAATTCAGCTCAAGTCAGCATATTTGGTTTTCCTCACAACAGCCCTGTGAGGTAGGCCGGGGCTGAGGGAGCCCCCATCGGCCCAAAGTCTTATCTTTTTACCGTAAAAGAGGAACTGAGGGAAAAAACCCCGCACATTTGTTTTTTTAAGCTTAAAACTGTGAAGACACACATATATATATAATTAAATTGATAATAAATAAGTATAAATGTAGAGAAGCACAACAGGCCGCCCCTCCCCCTCGAAAAACACTTTTCCACAGTGGCCCGCCAAAACACCAGCCCTCAGAAGTAGGCCATTCTCCTCAGCAAGCCGCCCTCTCGGCCCACAGAGCCCCGCTGCCGCCCTCTGAGCCGCTCCGCCGGGCCTGAGGCTGCGGGAAGCGGAGCGGGGCCCAGCAAGAGACCGGCCTCACCTTCCCTCACGCCCCTGGCGCCGCCACCGCTCCTTCAACACGACCCGCTTGCCGGAGACGGAGCGCCCGGAAGCACGGCCTCGGGCCTGCGCTCCACATCCGGCGCGGGGTGATGACGTCGCGCGAGGGACTTCGCCGTCGCCGCAGAAGGCCTCTCAATGGAAGCTCGACGGTTCATAGATGTCCGAAAAGGGTAGAGTCGCGTCGCTGGCCATACTTCCGGGCTCAGTTTCTCTCTCGCTCTCCTATCAGTGCTCAAGTAGAAAAAAAAAACTTAATAGATTTAAACTTTATTCTGTGGAATTTAAAGTACGTCCGATTTCCCCTGCCAAGGACTGTGCAAGCTTCCTGTAAACCTCAGTGGGAAAATTCAGGAATTGTCCTTAGGCTACTTAGTCAGAGAAAGCCGTTGCAAGAATCCTATTTTTTTTAAAAAAAACTTTTAAAATAAATACTTCTCCAAAATGAAACATTTACAACCTAAGAGAAGCGTTTCTCAAATCTGGCAACTTAAAAAGAGGAGTGGCCTTCCAACTCCCAGAATTCCCAGCGGCTAGCCCACTCATTTGAAAGTTGCCACCACTGATAAACACTAGCCTAAAGCATTACACGGGTAGTCCTCGGACTTATGACCATCGTTGAGCCCCAAATTGCTAAGTGAGACAGATGTTAAGTGAATTTTGCCCCATTTGACAACTTTTCTTGCCATGGTCGCTTAAGTGAATCACTACAGTGGTTAAGTTAGTTACACGGTTGTTAAGTTGGTCAGGTCGCAAAAAGGGGATCACGTGACCCCGGGACACTGCGACCGTCATAAATACGAATCAGTTGCCAAGTGTCTGAATTTTGATCACGTGACCGTGGGGATGCTGCAAAGGTCCTAAGTGTGAAAAACAGTCATGTCCCTTTTTCCAGTGCCGTTGTCAACTTCAGTCACTAAACAAAATGTTACAAGTCAAGGACTGCCTGTGCCTAGGAGAAACACAATAAAAAGCAATTTTTTCCCCAGACATGAGTAGTCAGCTGGAAGAGTTGTGTGTTTCCAAATGGCTTTCTGAGCAAAAAGGGATGTTTACAGCTTCCGTTTTAATTCTGACTGGCAGCCTATCCGTTGGGGTGGACTCGTCGGCTCTGTATCCTTGCACTAATTCAATACAATACAACTTCGCTATAAAAATGCCACAGGGTGATGATGGTCATATAAAGAGAAACAGATGCACCTTCAGTGACGTTTCCATGTTTATTTGTTCGACGCAGACTTCTGAGAAGAAAACAAGATACAGGATTACACCTCACTGTAAAAGTTTCTTTTTTGGAGGGGGGGGGGGAGAAACTCCCTACAACAAGCAAATCCTAAATGATTTGTGTCTTACACAGGTCACGAAAAGTTATCCACAGGATTGGACTAGTCAAGATTGCAAAGTGGTCATCGGAGCGATGCTGAGTTGCTGATGCTGATCAAGCAAGAAGCACACACACACACACACACACACCGTTCTTAAATCCAAATTCTTGGCATCTGAGACGTTGACAGTTTGGTCCCAACACACAAAGCACCAGGAAAACATTTGCCTTCAAGTATGCCCAGAAAAGGGAGAAAACATTTCGGCATTTTGGAGGGACCGAGAGCGGGGAGCCTGTTCTGCCTGAGAAACTTCGCATCCGAAGTCCAGCGCTCCGCATATTCTCTTTAACAAAAGAAAGAAGTGTTTGCGTTACCCTTTTCGCACAAAGACTAACAAAAATGAGTTGGGGGTGGGGGTGAGAAGGAACAGACAACCACATTTGGAGCGGGGCAACCAGTTGAGGTTCCTGGCTGACAAATCAGGAAGTGTGGAATGCAATTTTTTTCACTCTGAAATTAAAAACTTATTAACATTATTTCCCCCCCTACAATTAATAACTGAGCACGTTTAGTTCAGATGGACTGTAGCCAAGACAATCCATGCAGGCTGAGCGCTTCAAGCGGCTCAGTTCATGGGAATCTGCCTGGCTCAAGTGGATTTTACTTCCGAGGAACCTGCTAACGATCCGAGAGCACAATTCAGTCCTGGCCTATCAATATTCAAGCCACAAGGACCTGGATGGATTTGTGGTTAACTGGGAGGGAATTAGTTCAATGGTCCTAGAGTAGCAAAACTAGGTTAAACGGATATGCGATGACATAAAGACAGCTTCCCAAAGTCCCCATGGGATTTTCAAACGTTATTTTGAGAGGGCCTTGCTGCGTGAAATCTCCTTTCCTTCTCTAGCAGCTTTTTTGGTTATCTGAGTGCTCGGCGGCATCATGCCACACGATCCAGGACGATACGCCATTTTCTCCTCATTTTACAATCCCCAAAAGTGTCGGGTCTTAAAACTCAGGGTGAGTTTTAAGGCACCCAGATCCCCAAAGTCGGCTGGGTTTATTGCCTGCTCTGGACAGCACGGAAACAAAAATTAAAACAAAACTCGAGCAGTCTCTCCTTTGGCTCCTGTGCCAAATATTTTTCAGCTCTGCCCCCCACAAACAAGCCAAGGAGGTCCGTTCTGAGGGGAAGCTGAAAACTGTAGCTTGGTCGGCGTGGGGGGGGGGGAGGTGAGAGAGGCTGCCGTGGGTCAAAACTGCTGAGGACATCTCAGCAGCAAATCTTCAGACGGTTTCATCCAGAACTCGAGACTTAGCGAAGGATGTGCTGGGACGGAAGGCCAGTGGCACATTTGACACCCTCTCCACCACGCTGTGAGATCCAGCTGTTCCCGGCAAGGACATTTGGTGATTTTGAGGCTTTTTGAAACCCGATTCTTTTCCAGCCTTGGGAGTTTGGACCGCTGTACTGGCGGACAGCATCCAACACATGGACCCAGCTGGCTCTTGCTTTCTTTCCCTTCCTGTGCGCAGGCAAAGAAGTCTCTGGGTTTTGTAACCTTGGGCGGAGGGCAAACCTGGCTGGATTTCACGTCGGTCCGGTGGAGGACGGACCAAAAGTGACTTTGAATATGATGGGTGGCAGAGAGTAAAGTCTTGGGAAGAGCTCTTCCATCCGATGCTTGTGATTCTCACCTGGTCTTTGCGCCCGTTTTTCTGGTCACAGCACGCCCTGCCTGGCGTGCAGGATGGGCCTTCAGGGGGAGGGTACCGGGGGCTTCGAAAGGAAAACATCGTTCGTCTAAACTTCCACGTAGCAAAGTTAAGGCCGAGGTGCAGGCGGAGGTCTCATTCGAACGGATGGGGGTCTTTGGAGAGGAGAGGCTCAGCGTCGTCATTGATTGTTGGAGAGAGTTGGGGGGCTGGGGCTGCTCCCACCAGGTTCTGGAGGATTTCCTGCTGGTGCTGCTTGGCCCTGTTGTACAGCAGGACCCCGATGATCACCAGGACTGTCCCGATGGCCGAAAGGCTGGTGATCTTGTTCCCAAAGACAATGATGCTGAGCCAAATGGACAAGGCGTGCTTCACCGTGCTGGCAACACTGGGGAAGGACGGGAAAACAGGAGGAGACTGAGAAAATTGGGAGTAATTTCACACTCAGGAGGTGCCCAGGCAGGAGTAGGCAGGAAATAGGAGGAGATTCTGGGCGGATCGGGCCCAATCCGAGATTCCCCCAGGAAACTGACTGCAGATCTTAATATATGAAAACGACGAAAACCCTTTCGTCTGTTGCTCTCCTGCCCTGCCTAATTTTAAGCACCGTTGCCAAAACCAAGACAAGCTGCAGCCCTTGCCATACAGCCAGGGATGATGGGCGCTGTAGTCCAGCTGCCCCGGAGGGCCTCAGGATCAGGAAGGCCATGCTAAACGGGAGCCAGGAATCTTTGCCACCCTAGATGAAGCCACCCCACGGTTTCCTTTGTAAATCTACCTCTGAAATAAAGGGGTTTCTTATTGGATGATGACCCTATGGCAGTGGTTCTCAACCTTTTTAATGCCGCGACCCCAACCGGTCGTAAGTCGAGGACTAAACCGGTCGTAAGTCGAGGACTACCCAACCGGTCGTAGGTCGAGGACTTTCCCTGCCCGGGAGCGCCGCGCATGCGTGGTTCCGCCCCCTGCGCCGGCCGAGGCGTAGCTGGCAAGCGGCAGAGACAGAGCAGGCCGACCACCAGCTGGCCCAGCCCAAGGGAGGTAAGGCACCCGCCAGAAAAGGGGAAAAAATGGCGGACAAAAAAAATGGCGGACAGCTTTGCTTGGCGACCCCCGTGAAATAGTTGATCGACCCCAAATGGGGTCCCGACCCACAGGTTGAGAACCACTGCCCTATGGTATTTCTGGGGGGGGGGAGGCTTACCTGAAAGTTACGGGGGAAATCTTCCCCATCAAGGCATAAGCGGTGACACTTTGGAGGTGGAACAGCACTCCATCCATCAGAAGCAGCACCACGATGTCCTGGTTGTACTGGAAACTCCGCCCGCTTTTCCCAATCACCGGCATATCCTTCCAGACCGGAAGAGAAGGAAGGAAACAGAAGAGGGGACAGGGCAGGAGGTTAAAAGGAGGGCGGGGAGTGCCAGGAGCTCCCAATTTGAGACCTTCTCCCAATTTTACGCCCTATGGAACAAAAGACCCTTGGGAGTGCTGAAGGAAACACCCTTATTGACCTGGGACTGGCAACCCCAAGCTGAGCATCAGGTCGTTTTTCAAGCATATAGCTAGGCCGATCCAGGGAAGTCTTCCCCTCTCTTCCCAGCAGGTGACTGGAAGGAGCAGAAAGGAAAAAGGAAGGAGTGGGAGAAAGGTAGAAAAAGAAACGAAAGAGATGATGCAAGAATGAATGGAAGAACGGAGGGAGGAAAAGAGGAGAGAGGCAGAGAGAACAGGAGGGGAGGGGGAAAGGAAGGAAGGAAGGAAGGAAGGAAGGAAGGAAGGAAGGAAGGAAGGAAGGAAGGAAAAAGGGAGGGAGGGCACGGGCAAAAAAAACAGTCAGAAAAGAGAAAAATGGCGGTTCCACTCAGTTTGGGCCCCACCTGCCGAATGCTGGCTTGCAACTTGCAGCCTTTCCCAACATTCCCCAAGTTTGTGTTCTACTACACTACAAAACAGAAAAGCCAGTTGTGGCCTGGTGGCAGAACACACATCTCACCATGAAAAAGACCCAGGCAGGGATAAGCATGATCACAGCAGCTGCGCTAGTGTAGAACTGAAGCTCAGGAGCACTGCAAAAAAAAAAAAGAGAGAGTGAGTGAGTGAGTGAGTGAGTGAGAGAGAGAGAGAGAGAGAGAGAGAGGGNCTTTCGTCTGTTGCTCTCCTGCCCTGCCTAATTTTAAGCACCGTTGCCAAAACCAAGACAAGCTGCAGCCCTTGCCATACAGCCAGGGATGATGGGCGCTGTAGTCCAGCTGCCCCGGAGGGCCTCAGGATCAGGAAGGCCATGCTAAACGGGAGCCAGGAATCTTTGCCACCCTAGATGAAGCCACCCCACGGTTTCCATTGTAAAGCTACCTCTGAAATAAAGGGGTTTCTTATTGGATGATGACCCTATGGCAGTGGTTCTCAACCTTTTTAATGCCGCGACCCCAACCGGTCGTAAGTCGAGGACTAAACCGGTCGTAAGTCGAGGACTACCCAACCGGTCGTAGGTCGAGGACTTTCCCTGCCCGGGAGCACCGCGCATGCGTGGTTCCGCCCCCTGCGCCGGCCGAGGCGTAGCTGGCAAGCGGCAGAGACGGAGCAGGCCGACCACCAGCTGGCCCAGCCCAAGGGAGGTAAGGCACCCGCCAGAAAAGGGAAAAAAAATGGCGGACAGCTTTGCTTGGCGACCCCCGTGAAATAGTTGATCGACCCCAAATGGGGTCCCGACCCACAGGTTGAGAACCACTGCCCTATGGTATTTCTGGGGGGGGGAGGCTTACCTGAAAGTTACGGGGGAAATCTTCCCCATCAAGGCATAAGCGGTGACACTTTGGAGGTGGAACAGCACTCCATCCATCAGAAGCAGCACCACGATGTCCTGGTTGTACTGGAAACTCCGCCCGCTTTTCCCAATCACCGGCATATCCTTCCAGACCGGAAGAGAAGGAAGGAAACAGAAGAGGGGACAGGGCAGGAGGTTAAAAGGAGGGCGGGGAGTGCCAGGAGCTCAATTTGAGACCTTCTCCCAATTTTACGCCCTATGGAACAAAAGACCCTTGGGAGTGCTGAAGGAAACACCCTTATTGACCTGGGACTGGCAACCCCAAGGTGAGCATCAAGTCATTTTTCAAGCATATAGCTAGGTCGATCCAGGGAAGTCTTCCCCTCTCTTCCCAGCAGGTGACTGGAAGGAGCAGAAAGGAAAAAGGAAGGAGTGGGAGAAAGGTAGAAAAAGAGACGAAAGAGATGATGCAAGAATGAATGGAAGGACGGAGGGAGGAAAGGAGGAGAGAGGTAGAGAGGAAAGGAAGGAGAGAAGGAAGGAAGGAAGGAAGGAAGGAAGGAAGGAAGGAAGGAAGGAAGGAAGGAAGGAAGGAAGGAAGGAAGGAAAAAGGGAGGGAGGGCATGGGCAAAAAAAAACAGTCAGAAAAGAGAAAAATGGTGGTTCCACTCAGTTTGGGCCCCACCTGCCGAATGCTGGCTTGCAACTTGCAACCTTTCCCAACATTCCCCAAGTCTGTGTTCTACTACACTACAAAACAGAAAAGTCAGTTGTGGCCTGGTGACAGAACACACATCTCACCATGAAAAAGACCCAGGCAGGGATAAGCATGATCACAGCAGCTGCGCTAGTGTAGAACTGAAGCTCGGGAGCACTGCAAAAAAAAAAAAGAGAGAGAGAGAGAGAGAGTTGAAGAGGAATGAATTCAGTAAACCAAACACTTATTCCAGCTTTATCTGAAATACAGGCCGTCCTCTCCTTACGACCGTTCATTTAGTGTCCCTTCAAAGTTACAACGGCACTTATTATTAATAGTTTATTTTAACGGAATTTTTGTTAGTTTTAATTATATGATATTATTATTATTTTTAACATCAGTATTGTATTGTTTAATATTTAGGTTATGAATAGGTTTATTATTGTGTTTAATTTTAATTTGTTTAAATTTGTGTTAAAGGGGAGTTAAAGTGCATTATGGACTTGGTTATTTTAATAGTTGGTTAATGCTGGATAGATTTTGATTATTATATTTGTAACCCTGTGTTCAGCTCTGGGAAGTGGGGGAGGGGGAGGGAGGGGTTTTGGGGTGGGTATGGGGGTTTATACTGTAATTTCCATAAAACTTTTAATTAAAAAAAAAAAAAAGTTACAACGGCACTGGAAAAAAGCGGCATGACCGTTTTTCTCACTTACGACCGTTGCAGCGTCTCCAGGGTTACATGAACAAAACTCAAGATGCTTGGCAACGGACTCGCATTTACGACGGTCGCAGTGTCCCGGGGAGGGTCCTGTAATCCCCTTTTGCGACCTCCTGATGAGCAAAGCCAATGGGGAAGCCGGATTCACTTAACGACCGTGTGACTTACTTAACAGATACAATGATTCACTTAACGACGGTAGCAAGGAAGGTCGTAAAATGGAGCGAAACTCACCTAACAAATGTCTTACTCAATCACATAAATTTTGGGCTCAATTATGGTCATAAGCCAAGGACTACCTCTACACCCCTATAAAACTATTGCCCAGGTCTTTTTTTTGTGACCAATTGGGAGATCTGAACCCAGGTCTTTGCTAAACGGGTCAGTCTGCAGCCCCTACGGACTAGAAGGACCCCAGAGGAAATTGATGTGGGTCACTGGGATCAGAACGGAGGAGAGCGAGGCTTCTGTTAAATCATCCCAATGAGGACTAGATACTTACGAGAAACGGTATTTGTCCCCACTCAGCAGCTTTTTGGAGAAAACATTCTGCAAGCTGCAAAAAGGAGAAGAAAGCCGTGTTTATGTTTCAAAGGTGGAGTGGAAATAACCCAGAGCAAACGGGAAGAACTGCCCAGAAAGGCTAAAAATAACTCTGCAGGTGTTTTCTAGATAAAAGTCCCACTGTTCTAGATAAGGCCAGGAGAGAAGCCGTTGGTCGGCTGCTCCCCTTTATGCAAACTCCCCCCTTTGAGCTGCAGAGGCACTTACCAGTCCATAATATTTGTCGACAAAGCTGCCGAGAAGCCGAGGATGTTGAAACTCAGCTCGGTTGCAGTACACAAGGCCAGCCCGCCCATCACGGGGACCAGAGACAGGTTCACAAACAGCCCTGGGACAATCAGAGGCAGAATGAGAAATCAGAAGAGAAGAATAGAAACTGTTTTTTAAAAAAACAACAACAACAGCCAATTAAAGACTTGTGTTTGAGGTTCAGGGAGATTGCAAAGTGGTCTCCTTTGCACCCCAAAGGGCAGAGCAGTCTGTTTATTTTATTCATTTGCATCCCGCCTTCGCTGTTTTTACGAACAACCCAAGGCTATGAATATATCCAACATATTTTTTTCCCCCACAACAACCTTGTGAGGTGGCTTGGGGGGAGACAGAGAGAGACAGAGAGAGAGAGAGAGAGAGAGAGAGACAGAGACAGAGAGGGAATGAGTGAGGGAGAGAGAGAGGGGGGGAGGGAATGAGGGGGAGAGAGAGCGAGAGAGCGAGAGGGAGGGAATGAGAGAGAGAGAGAGCGAGAGGGAGGGAATGAGAGAGAGAGAGAGAGAGGGAGGGAATGAGAGAGAGAGAGAGACTTGCCCAAATTCACCCAGCAGGCTATGGTGGGATTTGAATTCATGGCCTTCTGCTTTCCAGCCTGGTGCCTTAACCAACAGACCAAACTCTCAGTGTTGATGGTATAGAGGGAGAGACTCTTCCAGATGTGTGGTCAAACTCCAGCAGCTTTCAAACGTCCTGCCAGACAGGACTTCTGGGAGAGGACATTGAGCAACATCTGGAGGATGGATGGATGCCTGCAACTTGCTTCCAATATGGAAGTCAGATCGGCAGCCAAGAGGGCGGAACAAGCGAAGGCCTTTAGCCAGCTGGGTGAAGATAGGACTGGGGAGATACATTTCCCAAAGCATCTTGCATTTTTACACTGCTGGTTTCTGAAATCTTTCTTGTAAGATGACACCAAAACCAAACAGGCCAGTGGGACAGAGACGATAATTGCCAAAAAACATGTTTTAAGCCCGGAGAAAGAAGAAAACATTAAAAAAAAGAAATTCAAACTGGCCCCAGAACTTTACCTTATTGAAATAGACAATGGTTTTTGGACCTTGAAAGCTTGACTGCATCTTCCTTCCCTTTTAGACACTTTAAGAGTGTCTAAAAGGGAAGGAAGATGCAGTCAAGCTTTCAAGATCCAAAAACTTTTGTCTATTTCAATAAGATAAAGTTATGGATTTTTTGGTGGTTTTCTGAGGAATCTGTTTGCCAATGTAGCCTACCTCGAAGGATCGGCAAATAATGGAGAAAATCATCAGCTCAAAAGCTCTCCAGGGTTGAATTTCTGACAATCAGGAATGAAGGCTACGTGGGCAGAGCTTTTCCTTAATATTGATTAAAAAACTGCTCCAAAGATAGGAATTATCAAAAGATATCCTACATCAGTGATGGCGAACCTTTTAGAGTCCGAGTGCCCAAACTGCAACGCAAAACCCACTTATGCATCGTCGGGTGCCAGGTGGGTGTGGCTCATTGGCTGGGTGTGGCCAATTGGGGGCGTGGCCCACTGGCTGGGCATGGCTGCGGTGGTCACGGCAGACTGGGTGGGACTAAAAAGTTCAATCAATCAATTCCAACTTTGCAAGATCTTTTTTTTCCCCGCAAGAAGTTGAAATTGACTGATTGATTGAACCTTTTTTTTTTTGCACACGGCGGCGGAGGCCTAAAGCGAAAAGGTTTTATAAAACCCAGCTGAAGGCCTAGGACTGGGGCGACGGCGCGCGTGCCCACAGAGAGGGCTCTGAGTGCCGCCTCTGGCACCCGTGCCATAGGTTCGCCACCACTGTCCTACATCCTATGTTCAGTTTTCACGTTTAAGATATATTGATTTCAGCAAAACGTACCGGTGTATTCTCCTAAAATCATGCGGGACATAATAACGGTAAAAATGGGTGCTGAGCTTTTCACTGTCTCGGCAAAAGAAACAGCCACGTTCTTCAAGCTGACGAGCCCCAAAACCACAGTCGCAAATCTGAGAAGGAGCAAGGGAAAATGCAGCTTAAATTTTCAGCGGTCAAAACACCCAACACTTATTTTCTTTCTTGCCTCCTCCTTGACCCAGAAAGTTTCCAGAAGGGAAAGAAAAAAGAAAAAAAGCCGTCAGCAGTGGAAGACTTTAGTTTTTTACCCAATATCTAAATCTATAAATCTGTTTTTCGGTTAATCCATAGCGGATGATAGAGATGTACTCCAGAAACATCTGAAAAGTCGAAGCTTTTTAAACAGCTAATGCAAGAGCAGATTAATTTTTTTAAAAAAAGAAAATTCTCCAAGGTTTGTCTCAGAGGATTCCTCCAAAAATGCTAACGTAAAAAAATAATAATAATAACAACTTAGTTTTCTCCAAGGGGGAACACAGATTTGGATGTTTGGGGGGAAGGGGGGGGGAAAGAAAGATAGTCATCCAGCAGTGAAGAAGTGACTCAGTTTCTCCAAATGTGCCCAGGCCTTACCGCATCAAGCCAACGAAAAGCATAATCATGATGAAATTGGAAGGATAGGAGAGACGGCTTTTGTGCTGGTAAAGACAACAGGGCACAAACATTTTGACGCAGCCAATGAAGGTGGTGGAGAGCATCTGAACGGCGCCTGGGGAAAAAAAAAAAAGACAGAAACAAGAGATGCCTAAAATTAGGATACCCAGAGAAAAAGTGGCCTGACGTTCCCTTTCCAGTCAGAGGACAAACTATGATATGTACAAACTCAAGATGGAGGGGATCGTGTTTTTCAGCACTCGAAACAATTGGTGTTTCTCAAGTGGGCAACTTTAAGACAGGTGGACTTCAACTCCCAGAATTCCCCAGCCAGTCCACATGCCTTAAAGTTGCTTCCTGTGACAAGATGCATCTGTCCTCTCCCAGGCTGGGCACAAGGAAGAAAATGATTGTGGTTTACTTGCCTAACATACTCGGTTCCCCTTCCAGCAGCGACAAGATGTACTTATTCAGAAAAAGGGTGCAAAAGCTGAAGAAGAACCACAGCGTGAGGTAGGTGAGGGCGTAAGAACTCCAGATGCCCAGGTCCGACTCAATAACCGTAGTCTCCGTGATGGTGATTTTTAGGACGTTCTCTTCCGGCACGCTGTCGCTCCGGGCAATGACGAAGCGTTCGCTCCGGCCGTGGAAGAGGGAGCCAAACTGGAAGAGGTTTTTCGCTTTGGGTTTGTCGTCCAAAAGAGGCAAAGCGAGGGAGGTGGAAAGGCCGGAGTCGGCCGGGTCCAAAGTGGAACTGCTGGTTAGGGTGGCCATGTTGGGAGGTGGGTCCTGAGGCTCAGCTCCGGAAGTAGAGCCTTCGATCTTGAGAAGGCAGCCCCTCCAAGTCTCCTTGGCTTGCAAAGAGCTTCAGGTGCATTTGGTCACACGTGGCTCCATTGTCTGGAAGGAAGGAAGGAAGGAAGGAAAGGAGGGAGGGAGGGAGGGAGGGAGGGGGAAAGAAAGAGGAAGGAAGGAAGGANAAAGAAAGAAAGAAAGAAAGAAAGAAAGAAAGAAAGAAAGAAAGAAAGAAAGAAAGAAAGAAAGAAAGAAAGAAAATAAGTAAATAAGTTTGGACATCAGAGCATGAATAAAGTAAACTGAATTCCAACTTTAGGATTCTATGAGTGCTGGATTTTAATCACCAACACACTCCTGGGCATTTATTGCAGGTTTCACAAACAGGTACCCTTCACTTATCTGGGACTACAAGTCCCAGACACCCCTGGAACGCTTGAAGCATCCAGCATTGGAGTAGTAATTCTATTTATTTTCACCGTTTATATTTATTTATTTTTTTACATGCAGCTGTTCTCCTCTCAAGCCACAACAATGCCTTGTGGAACATACTTCCTCTTCTAGCCAACATCTCCAGCTGGTTTACGAGGGGATTACCTTTTTAAAATGCAAACACACAGCTACAATGTTAAGAAAACTCAGGATTATTCAGATGCCGCTCAGTGAAATGGGTGGCCGTTTAAATTTAATAAATCCATAAAACAACCAAACGAGACGATACTAGTCCTCTTTACGTCCAGTTCTATATACAGGTAGTCCTTGATTTATGACCACAATCAAGCCCAACGTTTCTGTCGCTAAGTGAGACAATTAAGTGAGTTTTGCCCCATTTTACGACCTTTCTTGCCACAGTTAAGCTGTTGTTAAGTTAGTCACACAGCTGTTAAGTGAATTTGGCTTCCCCCCTTGGCTTTGCTTCTCAGGGGGATCACACGACCTCGCGACGCTGCAACCGTCATAAATACGAGTCAGTTGCCAAGCATTGGAATTTTGATCATGTGACCCTGGGGATAATGCAATGGACATAAGTGTGAAAAACGGTCATAAGTCCCTTTTTTCGGTGCTGTTGTAACTTCGAACAATCGCTAACTAAACTGTCGTAAGTCGAGGACTTCCTGTACTCACTTTCAACAAACTACAAACAGAAAGGCAGCCTAAACGTAATTTAGTGGGTTTTTCCCCCCCCTCCATGATGAAATATTTCTCTTCGTATTTTTTTTATATCTACCCAGCCCACATTGCCCCTCTGCCGCTGTCTGCAGAAATCCTGTACTAAATTTCCCCAAATCATTGCGGTTCCAATTAAAAGGGGTTTGCAGAGAAGTGGATATTCAGCCCTGAGATATCCTTGCTTCATCAGAAAGCCACAAAAAAAACAGAGCCAAGCCAACAGCTGCTGTCAGAAGTTAAAATCGGTTTGACTGGCTGGGAGTCAAATGGTCGGGAGAGGTAGAAAATTGAGCTGTGACCTGGCGCCACGTCTTTCAAAGCCCATCTCTGCCAAAAAAAGGAAAAAAAAGTTCCACAGAAGTTCTAAGAAAAGGACGTCAAACAAGGGAGCAGTTTTGCGACTGCCAGATTGCCAAACCAGATTTTCATCAAAAGCAGACCATCTTACAGCGAAGGGCACTCAGTCCGACAGAATATCAAACCGAAAAGATAATACTGTAATGGGGATAATGAGAGTTCAGTTGAAATGAAATACAGCCAGATGTTTATTTTCATTCTCCCTCCGAGAAAGCAGGCAGCTGGAGAGAGAGAGAGAGAGAGAGAGAGAGAGAGAGAGAGAGAGAGAGAGAGAGAGGCTGTTGAGAAGTAAACAAGCAGAAATAAAATACGGTAGATGGCAAAGTAAGAAAGGGCACTGTTTCTTCAATAAGGCTGGGTGCGTTATCTTGTGTTAACGCCAACCTCTCTCTGGGCAAAGGGCAGATTGATAAGCCAAGTTCAAAGTTTAACAGAAAAAGGTTTTAGACTGAGGCAGTTACACTTGGCCCCAAATGAAATTACAGTCCGATGGACAAAATGTAATTAAAAACAAGGTGAGCCTTGAAAACCCATCTATTCCATGCGGCCGGCCTGGCGTAGTTTTGATTGGGCTTTGCTAGGGGTTTTATATGGGGTATTTTAGAGCAGGCTTTTTATTCAATATTTATTGTGATTTTTATTATTGCCTGTTCACCACCCTGAGTCCCGTAAGGGAGATAGGGCGGTATATAAATTTAAATAATAAATAAATAAATAAATAAATAAATAAATAAACAAACAAACAAACAAACAAACAAACAAACAAATAAATAAATAAATAATAAATTCGCCACCCTGGATTCGCCTGGCTGTTAGGAAAAATTTAAAAAAAAAAAAAAATCTTTAACAAAGCTGATTGGAACAAACACTCGTTGAAAAAGCCTTCCCAAAAGCCAGCGGTGGTTTATGTAAGATGTACTGTATATAAAGCATTTTTTTTTCTCCCGCAATGAATCTTCCTTAATTCCATTCAAAATTATTCAGGTTGCAAAATCTGCTGTCTACTCAAGGTGAAAGGAGCAGTCTGTGTTTGTGCAAAAAAACATCAAGAGACCTCATATTTGTGATACTTTTGGCAACAAAGGGAACTTTTTGCTCATTTTTGAAAGCTGCCTGTTTCAAGACATGGGAGGAGAACCTTCAACATCAAAGTCACAAGTAATGAGAAGTTAAAAATTGGCAGCCTTTTGATTATTTGGTTTCATACTGTGCTTTCTCCCCTGTGCATTATCTTTCCTTATGTCCAGGTCTACAAATATACTTGCCAAATGACGACCCTTTGTGCAGCCAACTCTGCCCTTGAAAAATTAAACAAATGTGAAGGAGCAGGAAAAATGCTGTTTTCTTAGGGAATTTCCAGTCCCTGAAAGCACCAAAATGCAACTGATCAAGAATGAACTTTTTTAGATCAGAGCTGTGATAATGGAAACCTTTTAACCTTTTTCAGAGGTTACTTAATATTATTAAAGATGAGATGGTAGCAACCCTCATTAGCTACTATGTACTCCTTTAAGCTTCATGTACATAAACACACTCAATATGCCTATTCATAGTATAGTCCTGTTACAGAAAAAAATCATGTGTATATATACTGAAATAGAGAAAGTAAATACAAATGCAATTGCGTATGGCTCTCATAATTTTTTGAACTGTACAGTATCCCAGCCATGATGATATACAAACGATATTTTATCACCCTCTTCCCTGCTATAACTCTCTTGCCTGATTAAAGATACATTAAATATAACACAGATTTATATTCATAAATAACAAAACATTTGGACAAATAATTCAATTTTCTCGGTTCCTCTTGAATTTCAGGGGGCTTAGCTTTAGCAGACCATGAAGGTTTATGCCACAGTGATTCACATTATATACCTCCTGTAAAACAATTCTAAAAAGGATCCGTTCAGATTATTTCCAAACTTATCTTCTGTCTAGCTCCTGAGGGTAATTCAAGCACCCTGCTCACTTTTCTCAGCTGGGACAAAATTCAACACAAAGTCTTTTAGTCAAAAGTTATTAATTTCATAAACAAATAACTGCAACACATCCTGCAACAAACAATAAAAACATAAACAAAGACGTCCTCGTTTCTAAATCAATTTCCTTTTGCAGTTGTGAAGCCAGAAAAGGTCGGCTTGTCAAATGTCTCTAGAACAGCCCTTTCAAACCCCAGTTGCACATTATGCCTTCCTGCAATGCAGCGCAACACAATTGTGTCCGGACTGTCCTGTACAAACACACCTGCCTCTGTTCTCTGGCAGATCCTGTCCTCTTCTTCCGCAGCCATCACCGGGGCTACCTCCATCAGATCGGGAGGCCAGCCTGCTACGAAAACGGCTCCCCCTTTGGCAGAGGCGGAGCAAATCAAAGGCGGGGAGGAGAAAAAAGACAAAAGAGAGAGAAATTAGCAATGTGCCGTGCATAGGCCAGGTTTAACTTGTGTGTGGTTATGATGACTCTGGGCATGCGTAAAATGCAAATTGCTTTCAGACTCACATTTCCTATATGGAAAAGAACAAACCTCAGTGATTCCCAAATTCAATTTTCTTTTGAGAAATGGCCCTAAAAAAAAATAAATATGGAGCTGGAGTAACCCTCACAATTATTATTTTTTTCAAAGACTACTTCAAGAATTGAGTATGTTTAGTTCAGTGAAAAGGACCAGGGGTGACACAGTAACAGCGAGCCAATATTTGAGGGGCTTCCACAAAGAAGAGGGGCTCAACCTATACTCCAAAGCACGTGATGGCAGGACAAGAAGCAACAGATGGAAACTTATCAAGGAGAGAAGCAACCTAGAACTAAGGAGGAATTTCCTGATAATTAATCAGTGGAACAACCTGCCTCCAGAAGTTGTGGGTGTCCCAACACTGGAAGTTTTTAAGAAGAGATTGGACAACCATTTGTCTGAAATGGTATAGGGTTTTTTGTCTGACCAGGGGGTTGGACTAGAAGACCTCAAAGGTTCCTTCCAACTCTGTTAATCTGTTATTATTCTGTTACCCTGCCAATGTTTAAAGCAAGAGCTGGATTTTCTGAACAGGGGCAATGATTTCTCTTGCTGAGGTTGCAGGGATAAAAAGTCATTCTGGGACTAATTCAGAGACAACGTACCACTGGAGTCTACAGATTTGGTAGCAATAAGAGAAACATTCCTTAACCTTTCAGGTTTTTTTTTTATTGTATTCTATTTATTTGTCAAATTTACACACCACCAATCTCACTGTCTAAGTGGCTCTGGGCAGTTTACAAGTCAATTTAAAAATTGCTCATCCACTCTGGACTCCAGGAAGGCAAGGCATGCGAGATAGCGACAGCTCCCTAAGGTGAGCCTCCAACCATTTATGATCAAAGCCAAACAGGTTTCTAGTCCTGTTGAGGTACGAGACAACAATCTTCACAGTTATTAGATATTAGTCTCTACATTGAAAACTAAAAACGAACTGAAATAGTGGTGAGGATACTGAAGTTGGAGGCCTCGCTTTCTACCATGCTTCCATTTACAGGTATGCTCAAATCTCTAGTCCTCTTGAGGCAAACAGGTGTCTTCTCCTTTCTTTTGTCCAGAACAAGCAAGGAAGGGAATATTTAGGTCAGGATGTCCATAAGAAAAAAATAAAAAAAAAATTGCTTTATTGCCTTCTGAGGCAGCTCAGGACTATGACGCGCTTGGCCCCTCAGCTTAGAAACGGGTAGCTACGGGATGGAGGAAGTGACGTCACGAGCGAGGAGTAACTCTAGGCGTCTCTTTCTTTATGGCACCTCGGCTTCGAACTCTCCCGGAAGGCGGGCGCAGGACTTGAAAATGGCGCGTTTCCGCCTCGGCCGGAAGTTGCTCTGCTCGGGCGAGGCCCTTCCTTTTCTATGGCCCCCGCCCGACACCACTTCCCGCACTCGTCGCTCGGCTGGGGCATGTAACGGTCGCCGTCGCCATGGAGACGCCCGACACGAGGTAGCAGCCGGTTACTGAGCCTTGCGGGGATCCGTACACGACGGTGGGGGGCGGGGGAGGGAGCAGACAGCTTTCCGTTACAGTTCCGTCTCCCTGCCCGCGGCGTGACGTCAGAGTGGCATCACGGCGCCTCTCCTCTGACGTCACCACACCCTCTGACGTCACGGCCCTCAGATGTGGGTTTGGGTTTTCAGCAGGAAAGGATTGTCGTTCCTCCAGTTGATAGTCTGGGAAGGGGGGGGGCAAATGTGGGACTACAATCTCCATCATGCTGCCTGGGGATAATGGAAACTGGGGTCTCAGCGCATCTGGGAGATGCCAGGCTGATGGAGGAGCCCGCTAGGTGCACAGGGTGCGGTTGCATTTGATGCTTATCCTGGTTAATGGAATCATGGTTTAGTCAATCAGCCCAACTGAGTTTGCAGGATAGTGTGAATCCTAGCCCCACAATATTTGGGGCTAATCATCATTGGCCAGCTTGTAATTCCATGCGTCGTGCAAAATAAACCTTAGCGTGGACCCATCCACCTCAGGAGGACTAGAAACTTAGCTTTCCACACATAACATATTTGCCTGAACCTCCATTTATATTATTTGTTTGTCCGTCTAGGGTTCTCCTTTCCCAGTCAGAAGAAGCTCTGGCCTCTCCTTTGCCAAACGAGAGCATAAACTGTCCACTGCCAAATTTAACACCAAGACACCAAGACCTGATTGCCACGCCGTGCGGCCCTGTAAGTATCTGGATTTCACCAAGCTTGTTAATTTCGACGAAGTGGTTTGAGCCATTGTTTCCGCGTGTGTGATATCTGGAGAAAGAACAAAGGTCTCTCTCGCCTAAGATAAGCCACACTGAGTCATTGCCACGAACTGCTTTCTGCTAATTTTATAAACGCGGCTTGCAGCAAGCCGATGGCATTTCCCTGTCTTTATAACCAGCTTCAAAAAGTAAATTATTGGATGGGACCAACCCGGATTGTGGGCTAAATGGGCAAGTTAAAGTCCAATTTGAAGGAGAATTTCTCTTTACGTTAGCTGCACTCTTTTATCGTTCCAGATCAAACGATGGTCCGAACTGTCGTCCCCTGTCAAGATCTACTTCTGTGTCACCATCCTTTCGCTGTTGAGTGTCATTGGATTAACCATAGAGACCCTCATCCAGCAGAAAAATGAAGATTTTACTGTGTCTCTCATCCAGATCATTGGCCTCGGTAATCTGGCAAACCTTATAAACTAGAAAGATGGGGAGGGCGCAAAAACAGTCTTTTTCTACATACATTATATTTTTGACAGGCATCTAGGCCCAGACTGTTCTAATTCTTCTACAAGAGGCAAGAAGGGAATTGAGTCTTTCTAAAAAAAAACCCTGAAGGATAATTTACCCTCCTTTATATTTGGCTATCGCTATGTAGACCCCAATTTGCATACACGGTCCTAAGTCTGTCCTTCCTACTTTCTGTCTCAGGATCAGATTTGGATCCGGTCAGTTCCTAGATCATAACTACAGGTAGACCTCGACTTAACAACCACAACGGAGCTCAACATTTCTGTTGCTACGCAAGAGAGTGGTTAAGTGTAGTCACTTTCATCTGGCTCGCAGCCATTTCTGCATCTCTAGGGAGGGGTCAAGACTTGGACTCTCCCAATGATATTGTCGCCCTGTTTATGGGCTTGCTAAAGTCTTGTATTGTCCTGTAAACTGCAAATAATATCCACTCCAGGCAGTAGGTGGCACCTCTATCCTAGATTTTATAGAAACCCTCTCAAACTTCTCTGCCACTTGAATCCTGCTCTCGGCAGAGTTTCCACCCTGTATTTTGGCATTTTATTGGTAAAGATCCAAAGATAGAGGAGACAGGCCTTGGAATGGCCCGGGGCAGTTTTCAAGAAGAACCCAAAATTTGGGCTTTGTGCCACTCCAGAATCTTGGTTCTTTTTGGCCATAGAAAGTAAACATTGCTTGTTTTTAATCCCTCCCTAGTTTATGCACCAGGAGAGTCGGATTTATCCACAGCATTAAAGGAAATCAACCCCGTCGTGGTACAATATCTGAATCCATCCTTCTTGGGTCTATTCAAAGCATAGTTAAAACAGGCCATGGCTTATCAAGGCTGTAGCACAGCAAGCTGGCCATTTGTTAGCTACTTTTAGCACTGATTGTCCTTTGTAGCTTTGCTTTTCACCAGTACTGCTAGTTGCTGTGGTGCTTAAGAGGAAAAAGGCAAACTGTGATTCTGCAGCCTCCATTAAATTGATCTTCCTAACTTTCAGACCGGATGGATCGGCCCGAGGACGGATGCTTCCTTTGCTTTATCCGTTTTAAACGAAGCAAGGTTCTGGCCCTCATGAAAACGGGGGAGGCACTTCAAGCCCAGAACTGACCTCAGGGCTCTTGCTTTCGCCCCGGGAAATCTCTTCTCCCCTTTTTAGCTGGCTACTGATAACCAGGCCTTTCCCCTTTGGCAGTGTTCTGCATCTATTACGTCAGCCGAGGAATCCTGCAGGAGAATCGCCAGGAGATGGTGGTCTTTGTCCTCTCTATCGCCTTGGTCATGCTGCGCTCCGTGATCAACTTCACCGTCCTCCCCGCCAAGCAGAAGACGGAGTTGCTGGTGAGCATCTGGCCGGCCATCTTCCTCCCAACCCTTGTGACGGCGACGAGGCGTCCTGTTTGGGGAGGATGGGCTAACCGGGGCTCCCCTTGCCAGTCCCCTCATTGCCCTCTTCCGCCAGGCCCGCTTCGTCCTGATCCTTCTGGTGGGGGCCTTTGACGTCAGCTGCGCCGTGATCCTGATCCAGAGCGAGAGTCGGATGGCCTTCCGGGTGGGCGGGGCTTTGGAGAGCCTCCAGGCCCAGTATTTCATGCTGAACCTCTGCTTTTCCATGCTGACCTTTGACCTCCAGGCTCAGGTAGCCCCTGGCAACAAACCCTGTTCCTGTTTGAGTCCTAAGCCGAGATCCTGCCACTAAAGACCGCCAGCAAAGGAGCCGAGATGCTTTTTTGCCCACCTTTTAAAGCAGTGTTTCTCAACCTTGACAATTTTAAGGCATGTGGACTTCAACTCCCAGAATTCCACAGCCAGCAATGCTGGCTGTGGAATTCTGGGAGTTGAAGTCCACATGCCTTAAAATTGTCAAGGTTGAGAAACACTGTTTTAAAGAGTTCTGCCAGTTGACCTTTTTCGGCCTGTGGTCCTCCCAAGAGCGGCCTGGACTACAGTTCTAATCCTTCTGCCATGATGAGCACTGTAGTACTGTCCTGCTGGAAGCCACCAGAATGGGGATGATGGGTTATCTCGTGAAGCTGGGCGTTTTTAGAATATTTCTACAATAGGTGGGCATTCCAGAGAAGGAGATAGCCTCCTTTATCCCCAGCCTCATATCCTACATGAAACCAAAGTCCTAACTTATCGGTTCTTCAAGAGTTTGGAGATGAAAAGAGTTTCAGAAAGGGGGGGACCTTTCCTGAATTAAATCCTGTTTCCATTCTCAAGGTCCTGAGTGCAATTGGCTGTGTCGGTATACATTGGTGGATACTCTTTAAGTTTTATTATTTTTTTTTAAAACTTATAAGAAACTCGGGAGCGAGCAAGCCCCTCAGAACAATCCAGATGGGCTGGGCCATTCCTGATAGAAAACTAGCTGTTTGTCAAAAAGGATGGAGAAAGGAATGGATCACGGGGAAAAAAGGGGGGGCATGGCTGTATTGGATTCCTAAAGATCCCTGAAACGGTCAAGGAACGATCTTGAACCACTGCCTGATTCAGGGATGGGAAGGTGATCTGCAGCTCTCTCCTGCTGGCTGTTGTCTTGCAGAGATCTCTCTTCTATTTCCCAGCTCTGTTTGTCTGTCTTGCTGCTGACCACAACCCGAAAGATTTCGAGTCTGCACAGTGTGTTCCTGGCTGCTGGGATTTGCTGGGCGGTTCTCAAGGTTGCTTGTGGCATCACTGCAGTGAGTTATTTTCAATAACTGTGGCTTTGCTATCGTAGAATTCGCGGGCTGTCCAGTTCTGCTAATGGCTGTTTTAACTCCTAATATTTGTGGAGAACTGTATAGCTTCTCCTAATATTTGTGGAGAACTGTATAGCTTCTTTCAAAGACTGCGCCCGCTTCTGTATTTTACAGCTAAAACTGATGTGATAGCTTCTTTTTCAACCAGCGAGCCTTCAGTCACCCGTGCCTTTTTTTTTTTTTTTTTTGTTTAGATCTTAAAAGAGTTGAAACCTCTGGCCTGGATTTTTGTGCTTCAGAATTTACCAGAAGTGGCTTATCTGGCATATCTGTTGTACGCAGTAAGTCTTGCCAAATGGTTTACTGATTCCAGGAGGATAAGGGGGAATTCCTCTCTCGTTCAGAGGCAGCCCTGGGTAAGAAGGAAGTTAAGGGTGGCAGAACCTTTACCCCACTTCCTGAAGTGGAATCTGGAGCCCAAAGGAACAAGAAAATGCAAGTCCCCAGAGCATGTCGCCTCTTTAAAATGTGCCCAATGTTTTAGGGAAATTTGGTCCCTAAGGCTGGTGAAACCTTCGTGGAGGAGGAAACAAAAAAAAAAACAAAGAAAAAGCCAAGGGCCAGTTTTGAAATTTGAAGGAGCCCCCGTTGGTTATACTATGATGATGAAATTTTGGTTTCCATCCATAATGTTCAGAACTCGGCCATAAACACCTTCAGATCAGGGGTCTTCCAACTTGGCCCTTTGATGACTTGTGGACTTCAACTCCCAGAATTCCTCAGCCTGGCTGAGGAATTCTGGGAGTTGAAGTCCACAAGTCATCAGAGGGCCAAGTTTGAAGACCCCTGCTTCAGATGGATCCCATCCATAGGATGTAGGCCCAATGAAGACATGCGGTCTGATCCAGTGACTCAAACTGCGGTCAACCAACTTAGGAAATCATTGGTGCCTTATCATAGAGATCTGTTAAAACCAGGAACAGTCTGTTGTTGAACGCCACAGTCACCACTTCAGTGTTGTTGTTTTTTCAACCCTAAAGCAATGATTCTCAACCTTAGAGACTTTAAGATGCGTGGACTTCAATTTCTGGAATTCTGGGGACTGAGGTCCGCACATTTTAAAAGTTGAGAAACACTGATCTAAAGAAAGGCAGATAAGTCAAGGAAACAGCTAACTGGGACAGCATTCAAAACTTCAGCTGAAGGTCCCTTTGGAAAAGCCTCAAGGTAAAAAAAAAACAACAGATTTTTGAAGGCTTCGCAAAGCCCTTTAACGTCAAAACCGTCTGGAATGTTTCTCCTAAGTCACGACAGAAAAACCGCCAGCAGCCTTGAACACAACAATCCCATTCTTTTGAAAAAATAAAACAAGAGATAATCTTCCAGCAGTTCTCAACAGTGGGATTAAGCAGAGGGAGATAGAGGAACAATTTTCATTTTTTTTTTTTTTTTTTTTTTGGCCAAGCCTTACAGACCTTTCGGTGGGCAAAGTCTCCTAATTAGGCATTAGAATATCCACGGATCTCGGTTTTCCGATCCAATAGAGCACACTCTGATCCTAGGGCACTGTCTTCTTCCTTTCTCTCACAACATCCTTGCAAGGTAGATGGCACGGAGAGATTAGGCCAGGCAGAGCCAAAGCACCACCTTTGGAGGTCCACCGACAAACCAAGATCAAAAGAAACGGTGGCTTAGTGGATGTGTGAGATTCCCAGCTTGTGGCTGCAGACCGTGGCTTGTTAAATTTTGCTGTTTGCGAGGAACGTGCTACGGCAGTGTTTTTCAACCTTGACCATTTTAAGGCATGTGGACTTCAATGCTGGCTGTGGAATTCTGGGAGTTGAAGTCCACATGCCTTAAAATTGTCAAGGTTGAGAAACACTGTGCTACGGGGTCTGCGGTGAGATACTTTGAAATGAAAGCAGGTGTGAATTTCATTCCATTTTGGGGCTAATCGTTTTACTGTTACAAATGTTATTTATCCGTGCGGGATGTGGTTTTTTTCTCCCCCCCCCCTCCCCAGGTCATAACAGAATGGGGCCAAGGAAGCTCTTATGCCCTGGAAGCGGCCATCATCACCTGCTCCTGCATTTCGGTGACGATCAAAAGCGTCCTGTTTTGGGCAATGTTCCACGTCTATCAGAGCTTTGGGCAAGGCCTGAGAGAGAGGAGTGAGTATCAGAGACACAGGAACGGTGTCTGGGAGTAACCTCAGAGTAGGGCGGGTCTCTTCAGCGGGCAGCTGGGACGGGGATTGAGAACAAGGCACCGCCTGGCTAAGGCGAATCCATCTTTTTCAAATCCCGTCGACCGATTCAGCCTGGCAATTAAAGAGGAAAACCTAGAGGCCCCCTTAGATCAGCAGAAAAGCCCTCCGAACCAAGCCAGGCAAATGGAAGACTACCCATTATGGGATCACAGCGAAACTGCTCTCGCCCCGACTTCCGATTGGTGGAGAAGCTACCAATCAAGGCTTGGGAATGCCAGTTAGGGCCCAGGCCGAATTTCTCACCCTGCGTCCTTGGCGTACAGCCACAAGGGAGTCCAACGTTTCTATTGCTAAGTCAGGTTTTTTTTGCCCTCTGTTGTCATTGCCGTTGATGTCCTCTTCTCTCTCGCTCTGCCTCCAGTGTTTTCTTCCTATGGAAGGATCGATTCGTGACCTGCAGCTCCGTTGCCAAACCGATGTGCTCTTATAGAGTGAAAAATCTCGTTGGGAGAACCCGATTCCCCCCTCCCCCACCCCCGGTTGGACTCTGGAGACGGATGGAGAAGCGGCAGAAGAGACTGGATCCCAAGGCAGACCTTTGCTCCCCTGGCTAGGATTCCGTTCTGCCTCGCTGGATCTCCGGGACCGCCCCACCCAGCCTTCCTTCCTCCTGCGGAAAAGCGAAGAAAACCACGCACGCTCCTACTCTACTTTCCAAAGAACCGTCGGAGCAGCTTCCCAATGTGGCTTGCGCCGCGAGCGGCCTTTTCTCGCGCGAGGATCCGGCATTTGCTCCCTTGGCTGTATTGTCCTCCCCTGTTTTTAACCTCGTTTTGGGCCCTGCGACGGTTGGCATGTCTGAGCTTGACCGGCAGCGCGGGATTGGGTTGCCAAATTGCAGAGCAGATCCGGGGAGGTGTGGCTGTCAGTTTTGATAAACCCGTTCTCGCCCTCAAGAGCCTTGCCTGACCTGACCTGCTCTCCGATCCGGTTTGAAACCAGGAACATTTTGAGTGCAGCTTGCCTGTTTTCATCTTTCCAAGGCTGCAGGAGTCAAGAGTTTTCATTCCAAGGTTGCAAGGTCGTTTCGGATCCTGCGAATCTGGCAGGCGCTCAAAGGGGACGGCTCTGCCCTCCTGGTGTGGGGGCAGAGGGGCAGGGAGGCAAAGAACAGTAGCATACTGGTTTGCCCATAGGCCGGCCAATTTTGAACGCACCCTCTTCCTTTTGTGGAAAAAGCGGAGATTTTGTTCCACCGGAAGGATTTGGGGTCAGGACCCACCGAAGGCAGGATAGAAGGAATGGTAAATCATTTGACTAAAGTTGTCCCATCCAGGGTGCACAAAGTGGGCCTTGCAAGGAGCAGCGTGTCTGTCTAAATCAGACCACGTGAGCGTCTTATCTCTCAAAACTTTGGCCCAAACTAGGGTCTTCCAGCTTCAGTCTATACTAGCATGGCTGATTCCAGAGAACTGTCTTTAAACGCAGTTCCAACGCAGTCTTAAAACTTTCAGCGCCGACCTTCTCCAAAGATATAAAGTTTGGTTCTATCTTTTCAAAACGTCCCTAGTTAGGTGAGCATTTTAGCCGAGCTATTCTTCATAACAAAGTGATTTTTCTAACAAAAGCCAGTATTTCATACTCTAATCATAATGCTTTATTTAAAAAAAAAGGTTTGCTACCGGCCTTGTATTTTTCAATAAAGGATCAGTGGCACGGTTGTGTTCTGTAATTTTTTTGAACTCATCTACTCCAGACAGAAAATAACTCACTCTTCAAACAAATAGACAGTGGCAGGAATTGGCTACGTCTAGTCTAGTGAAAAAGAGGATTAGGGGTGACATGACAGTAGCGTTCCAATATTTGAGGGGCTGCCACGAAGAAGAGGGGGGCCCACTTATTTTCCAAAGCATCTGAAGGCAAGACAAAAAAACAATGGATGGAAACTTAAGCAAGGAGAGATGCAACCTGGAATTAAGGAGAAACTTCCCAACAGTGAGGACAATTAGCCAGTGGAACAGCTTGCCTCCAGGAGTTGTAGGTGCTCCATCACCTTTTTAAGATTGGACAGCTATTTGTCTGGAATAATACAGGGGCTCCTGTTTGGGCAGGGAGTTGGACTAGAAGACCTCCAAGGTCCCTTCCAACTCTGTTGTTCTATTAAAAACTGGGGAAGTTTTGGTTCAGCTTGCACTAAAGCGACTACGTCTAACTTTCTTAATCTCTCAGGCCAACCCTGATTATTTCCTACGGCAAGCTGGCATTTTCCCATTTACGAAGAGTCTGCCCTTTTCATAAATTCCTGGCTGATTCATAACTCAATACCTGTTTGCTCCATGGAGTGGCTCTTGCTAAAAATACACAATAGGCTGAGAGGGAAAAGGTCCTTCCTTTTCCTAAGAGTTCTGCAAGGGAAAACAAAAAAGATCTGTTATCCTATTTAATTTATTGGATCACTCATTTACTTTGCTATTTTTTTCCCCTGCATTATCTCGGCCTCAACCCACTACAGCTCCGTCCAGATGTTTTTATTTTCCAGCTGCAAGTGTTAAGTTATTAACTGTTATGAGGAGCTTCGAGGCTTAATCCCACTCTGCAGTTTTGCGTCAAGCCTCCCTTATAATCTGTCACTTCTTGTTGAATCCTATCGCTTCTCAAGGATCAGGTCTGATGCTACCAGTATCTTTGGAAAGGGGGCGGTGTGTGTGTGTTACAGCCTCCCTAATAAAAATAGCCCTCAATTTAACAACCATTTAGCAACCAAAGTTACGGCACCGGAAAAAAGCGACTTATGTCTGTGTTTCACACGTAGACAACCGTTGCCACATGCCCATGGTCACCTGATCCAAATTCAGATGCTTGGCAACTGACTTGTACTTACGACAGTTGCAGTGTCCTGGGGTCATGTGATCCCCTTTGGCGATCCCTTTTCGCAAAGTCAATGGGGAAGCCAGGTTCACTTAACGGTGTTTCTAACAACTAAAGTGATTCACTTAACTCTGGTTAGAAAGGTCATAAAATAGGGCAAATCTCACTGAACTGTCTCACTTAACGACAGAAATATTTGGCCCGATTGCAGTCATTTAGAAGTCTTTTGTGATCTCTGAATAGCTGCCCGGGTTTCTGCACCATACTAAGCCATGATTAATCCCAGATGGCCATGTTCACATGTTGTGCTGAGCTATAAATCCTTGATGATTGTCTGCAAGTAAAGAGTGGGCCCAATCCACCCCAATATGCACGTATTTTGGGTTCAATGTATTATACGAAACTACCCTTTTAACCCTATAAAGTATTCTTCTCATCCGTTACTACTTCTAAGAAATGTTATGATGATTTTGAGATTAATAGCAGATCTGCAGCAGAGAGTCTCCCCAACTGCATTCAGAGGGATTAACTCAATAGCAAGAGAAAAACCAAATTCTTGACGTCAAATGGCTAAACCTTCAGCCCAGCTGTTTGAAGAACAATATTATTTTCTTCAAAACAGATCCAGTATCTCCTTGGCCTCCCGCTTAATGCTCCACCTGTCAATGGATAGGGCTTGCTTTCCACCCATTGATGCTATCAAATGACACCAAACTTTGAAAAACAAAACAAAACACCAAGATTTATTTGAAAAGATCTGGGAAAATAGTTCCGCTTTCAAGCAATATCTTACAAGTTTTCAAAGCATTAACAAATAGGAAACCTCAGGCATCTTCGCAAGCATCCCACAGCAGGGATGCCTTTAACTGGAGTTAAGAAGAACACAGTCCATGCGGTAAAAGATTTATAAACTTGCTGGTGGGCAACCAACAAATTGGACCAGCCCTATCACTTTTATTTGCCGTCACCTCGACGCGTCTTCAGAGGCTGGCACATCATTAGAACACGACCAGGAAAGGATTTGGGGAAGGAAACAGACCAACTAGGAACATGCTCTTCAACCGTTAAGACGGGTGTCTCCGCATTCAGGAACTTCCAAGAATTCAAGAACTCTTCAAACATGAGCTGGGACCTTCCAATTTGGCAACCCATCAACCCCGAAAGTCCTGATGCGTGCTCGGTGAACATCTTTCAGGCAACACCCCTGATATTCTTTCTGAGTATTTGCTTGGCACGTCACGCTTCTTGATTCGTGCCCTGTCCTCGCCCTGCTGCAGTGACACCCTCCAGACCGCTGTCTTGTAAACTATAGTTGTCTTGGGGCGGTTCTCTGTCCAAGAGAGGGGAAGTTTGGGCATTTAGCAACAGAGGAAACCCGTTGAAAGCCATCAGCAAAATCCCTTAGCAGGGGTAGCTTAAAAGAATTTGCAGTGAGCTGACACAAAGGAAAAGTGGGCTGAGCGAAGTGCTGCCCCATTCAGGAATATAAGCCTGGCTTTCAACCATCCTGGTTTGTTATTCTTCCAGCCTTGGTTCTTCTGCCTGAAAATTGATGGCAAGAAAAAAAAACAACCCAAAACTTCTCATTTTCAGACCGAACACGGGATTGGAGATCCTTGCAATGCTTATCCCAAAGAGAACTGGCTTAAACGTGCTTCCTGTAAAAAGGGCGACGCAAGAGAAGCTTGAATTGATCAGTGAAGGGTGATCGGAGGACACTAGGACCCAGCTGCAATCCAAAATTCAGATTTCAGGCCATGACATGGTCAAGCTCTCCGGGTTTTCTCGTCTAACTTCCTCCTCCAAGCCAAATATATGTATAAATAAAGAGGTGGGGAAGTTAGCCTAGGAGTGGCCCAGTGAAAGAACAAGAAAAAATGATTTGGAGACGGAATTCGTGGGAGGACATAATTACAAGCCGGCTGGCGATTATATACAACCTTAAGTTAAAAAAAAACAAAACAGCTGGGTTATTTTTCTAAACCCTGGAAAAAAAATAGGACTAGCTAGAAAAAGATGATTTTTTTTAACTTATGAAAAAAGTAAAGACCCACCTTTCCTAAATAAGGCTTATTTTTATCTCTCATCTCGTTGGAAATGAAGTTTGTGCCTTCAATAAATCCTTTTATCCAAGTCAAGAGATCCATACGAACATCAGAGGCTTGGGCCTTTTCCCCCCCACCTTTAATTATTGCTTATTAGGAAGAAAACCCACCTAGCAAATTTCTATTCCATACAATGGTGGTTTAAATACTAGTAAGATGAACAGGATGAAGATGAGAAAAGCAAAATACTCATTTCTGCTCTAGCCTGGAAACTTGCCAACTGTTTCAACGAGTAATTTCCTGACTCCGGCGTAGAAATATATGCTTTTGTTCCAACTGCAGCAGGCTGTGTGTAGTATTTTGAAAAAGCTAGCAAAGTCTCTGATTTTTACGGTTCTAAAGTTAAAATATCTCACTTTTCTAGTCTGAATACTAAGAATGCGATTCAAGTGGCCAGCTAAAATACCTATGATTTGAAGGGGGGGAGAAAAAGGACAGTACAAAATTCAAACAAACACAGTGGGACAGCTTTCTGAATGGCCAGTGCAGTGTGTGGGACGGGTGACAAACTCACAGTGTTTTACTCGACAAGCGACGTGAAAAATCCCACTATGCAAAGTTTGTGATGCCAGAATGGAAAACATTTGACAAGGCATCACTTTTCACCCTGCGTCAAATGAACTGGAGAACTACTGCAGAGGTGTGCGAGAGAGACTTACCCAAGACTGGGCACTGTTGTTAAAAATAAATAAATAAATCAAAAGACAGATTTTCACACAAGGATGACAGTCCCTGATCGGATGCAGTGAATTTCCACGGGGAAAATCCTGCCTCGTTCTTTTCCGTCGAATTTAGACTGCCGGAATGAAGTAAGGGTATTGCAACAAAAAAAGAATCCTAAACAACTTATGCTCTATTTCCACCAGACAGAGATAAAGGGAGCAAGCAGCTACCCCGTTTTAATAAGAATATCACTTTAGAGATTCCCGTCTTCAAAAACAACCCAACATGAGAATAGCAAACGCCTTTCCTGCAAGGGAAAAAAATTTCAAGCTGTCGACTGCTTTCGTAACCTCTTAGCTTTGAGAAATTCCAGGGATTTAGGGATGGTTAAAAAATATCCAAGCCTTTCTAAAATCAGAGTTCTAATTATCAATTCTCTGAATTGAGGGAATGATGTCTGGGCCTTATCCTGGCTCACTCAGAACGAAAACAAAAGCAGAGTTTGGTACAGGTGGAGAATTTAAAAAGTATTTTAGTCTGGAAGTTCCCTGTTCTTGGGGGGGGAAAATCCCCCTTTTTAATCTTTGTAAAAAAAACCTTTCTTTTTCTTTCTCCCCATATCCACGAGATAAGACAATTAAGACAATATCAAGGGAAGATATTATAATAACAGCAAAAAAAAAAAAGAACACACGGTATGTTGAAGACAGATGAAAAATGCAAAGGATTTTTTCTTCTAACTTCAGCTGGATAGTCTTGCAGTGGTTTGACCTCAGAGAGGTCCAAGTAGCCTCCATTCCCATCAGCAGCAGCTTCATCGTCCTTAAGAGCTCAAAAGCCCTTGAAAGCAGCCTTGTCCCAAACAGATTCAACCTTGAGCCACAGTGCTCCAGAAGGAAACAGTTCAGCAAGACAGGATACTCAGAGAGAAGGTGCAAGAGGACAGCAATTTTTAGCTATTGTTGGGTCTGGCAGAATTTCACGGGACTGTCCTCAGACCGCGGTAAAATCAGGATTTCTACTCTCCATCCATTTTGGGGGCCATGTCAATGCTTGGTCATGTCAGGTCTGTAGGCCTCTTGAAGGAGCAAATTACAGGAATCCTGACCACAGATATTTGATGTAGTTGGAAGTGTGTCTTCACAGGATTTTTTTTTTTTTTTTTTGGAGGAGGGAGCTTTCATTTTTCAGACCGTGGATTTTCAACTCGGCAGTACTCATGTGGATTCAGAACAGCGTGTTGGGATTATTTCGGAGGCAAAAGAGTTCACACACACGAGCAAAGGAGAGCCTTCACACAAAGACACCCTTCCAAAGGGAAGGCGACGAAACATCGCCCGTCCTTACAAGCTTCACCTGCGGCTTTTTACATCTGAAAGAGACTGAAGAAAAACTCCTTTGGAAGGTGACAAAAGCAGGTTAAAAA